CAGGGAGTTAAAAGGTTTATGACAAAGCAGCTTTCAAATGAGATGTAAAAAACGCTCAAAAGTAGTAGCCACCTCCTACCGGTTACCCCATGGCAACGTAGCAACACTACAGACTTGCAGAATTTTTTAAGAAATGCTACATGCCATTTACGTGACCCTGTCAGAGTTTCATGATGAATGATTTTAAGTCAGAGAAGATTTTAAAGGAAGAAACAAGCTATTTTTTCATAGTTTACAACTGAGATTTACATAGGAGATATTAATTACTGAAAATAGAATTGTTCCCACCCCAATTTCAAGTCTAATGTACCTGACCTTTGAATTTAAGGTTGCTTCTTACTGATTTTAGAACGTGTTTTCTTTTGCTCAACCAGCAAAAGATGGGAATTCATTGCAAAACTGGAACAGACAGTATTATAGTGATATAAGCCATACTCAGTAATCAAAATACATACTTAAAAAAATGAAATGTTCTTCTCATATTGCCTCTTCCATAACATGCTCATATGTTAAGAAATATTATGATCAGTATCCTTCAGGGTATAAAAATACTACCTCAGACTAGAATAAGAGTACAGTTAAAGTGAAGCACTAGCTAAGAAAAAAAATCAGTGAAAAGAGCATTTAATTAAAAGCTGCAAGCGCAAGTCACCAAGAAGCACAGTGAAATGTCCAGCATATTCTCACTCAGCTCTGCGGTTCAGTGACTCTATGAGGAAATCGCAACTTTTGGAATCACAATGTTTGAAATCTCTGTTCAAAAAGAAGTTTTCTAAGGGGAAAAATCTTACCAAATATTAGATTCTTCAAAAAGAGAGGACAGAGGAAATTCGGTGTTACAAGTATTACTTATCATGGGGCCAGTGGAAAATACTTCCTGCATAATACACAAGTTTGTAACAGTACTTCTGGCTTTCAACTGTTATTCACAGTAAGCTGGGAAAAAAAAAAGCCTCTACTCATCTGCAAATACATTAATTTGAATATATTTCCTATTTTACCCTCGCTAAAGGACCTTCAGGTACAGCCCACTGTTCTGGAATTATTTGAAAGGAATATTATTGTTAGAAAGCACTTAAAACAGTAAGCATTAAATTCCAGGTACATTTACGAGGGGCTATCTTTTAATATATTTAATCTACTTAACTTGGGGAAATAGCACCAGAGAGCTAGATTTAAATGATACCGGTATTTCTCCAGCAATGGCTTGCTTTCCAGGGATCTACTACAAAAAAATTACAATGGAATCAAAGACAATAAAAGAGTTACAGGATTATGTTTTATAGAGAGACTGCTCAAAACACTGGGATGGAGAAAGAAAGATTTCTGAAGGTGTTAAAGAGAGTTTACTACTATTAATTGAAACAATATTTGAGCTGTATGCAAGGGGAAATGGTAGAAAGCACTAAAAGAACTTTAGAAAAGAAGGGAAAAGTCCTCATTAAAGCAGTATATGACAATGAGAAAAACAAGTAGAAAAACGAGCAGTCAGGCTGGGAATTACACTCGCAGGTGTTTTCATGCAATAAGCAACTCTGATGCAATTGGCAGCAGCTTATCAGCTAAATAAATCACATTATAGCGATCAATTTAGGGGCTAGAAGTAATTAAAACATGGAATCAATTACGTTCCTAGAAGCTCCATAGGGGAGGACGGCCTGATGTCACCGCTGTCACACGGAGCAGCAAATCCCGCGGCCCCCAGGACGGATGCGGAGGTCGGAGCCCGGGAGAGGCTCCCGCAGGAGCTGCCAGCGCGTCGCGGTGTCCTCTCCGGTGACAGCAAAGGTGACTTGGGATTAAAAAGGAGCTGCAAGGAATTTCCAGCGCGAGGCGAATGTTTCACGAACTCCCCCCGAAGGCAGGAGACGCAGCGTGAGGTGAACTGGTTACCCTGCTACACGCAGGACGGCAAAGGCAGATGCAATAAAGGAGTATCAAATTATACAAAGTTGTAAAGCTCAAATATTTAGCAAAGATGCGCCAGAATGTAATCCAAACTGGAATTCATGCTGTGGCCATATTTCAAGTCACAATATTTTAAAGATTTGTCTTGCTTTACAATTGACTTTTTGTGTCGCTTTGCTTCAGAACTGATGGCTAACAGCAACTTTGAAGCCCTAGGGCAATTTACACTTTGTTGTTGACGTGTAAATCTGCCCCAAATATTTTCAAAGCTATGCTGCCAAGGGTTTAGGATTCACCCTTAAATTAAATGCACAAAAATAAAAACATAGCACCCCTGAAATCGCTTTAGTAAAATACAGTATTTAGCAATTTATATTGACAAAAATAGTATAACTGGTATGAAATGCATAAAAAATATCAAAAGCTTTTCACTGCCATTGAACAACTCAGGAAAATGGAAGATGTTAATATTGTGTTTTTATTACAGAGCACTTCAAGCATATTCTTGCACCTTAGAGCAAAATGCCATGCCAGGTTTTTCAATTTAATCTAAATGCTACCTTGGTTTTCCACTTAACATACTAAAAGTTGAACTTGACATGAAATAACCAGAATGTATATCTATCCCTGACACACTTTTGTGTCTGCCCATAACACACGACTTAGTGGAGGTACCAAAATGAAGCCCTAAAGAGCAGCTCTCCTACCAGGAACTTGAGCAGAGCGGAAGACAGAGAATGCCCAAGAGTGTTTTAGCCATTTCACTGAATTTTCGTAATGAGCTTCAATATGGATGCGCAGTCGCTGGCATGTCCTTACCTGCAGAACGCCCCTGTTAGTTCTTTTGCTTTTATATTTTTTTAAATAATCATACCCCTATCTGTGCTCACCACTTCATTTTGTGGATAGCTCATCCTCACAAAGCGAAGGCTAATGGCCTGCATATTTCTTCAGTAAAATGCAGCTGAAGCCTTGTCTCACCTCTCTGAATTCACTAGTATCCAAATCCTGTTTTATAATTACTGCCCTCCTTCACTACCTCCTTCTGTATCTGTAAAAAGGTGACTGGCTACTGCACAGTAATAAATACAGTAAGATCCTAATAAACATCCTTCATTTATAAAATGGTGCCAGTACTTCTGAATGCAGCATACCTTCATTTTTATTGCTTTCTCTTCAACTCAGTGTAACTTAATTAAACTGACTATTGCATAAAATAAAGTAATAAGGAGGAAACTGATTTTAACGTTGAGAAACAGCTTCCTAACAGCTAGCAACTATATAAACCTCAAAGGAATATAACCTTACAGCAGGTCCAGTTCATTTCAACATATAGCTATGCTGCAATTTCCTTAAACCACAGGACATAAGTCACATTTCTAGCAGTGCCTGCAGAGTGAGACTGATAAAGATGTAAAGTTTTGTGTCCTGCAGTCTCCAAATGCTTGATACCCCACAGGAATTTCACAGACGGAAAAAACGATGCCCTTTGGCTGGTATGGGGTTAACACCTTAAAAAGGCTGGAGTTTAACTGTCCTGCTTCTTGGCTTTCTGTTTATTTGTTTTTAGTGAATGCTTTATTTTCTTTTTATGCATGACAAGAACATATTGCAAAACATTAGTCCCTAAAACAATTTCCCTTCTTTCTTCTGTCATTTTGGGACGTTATATATTTCCTATCACCAATCTAGTGATGATTCTAGTTGATCAATCTGTCCTGCCCATTTAATACACTTATCAACTGAGTGGTAAATAACCTCTTCAAAGAGCATCCGTGTACCCTCCCTAGTTGATTTAGCCCTCTATCTCATGGCTTTAGAAACTGTACTGCTAAAGAACACTATGTTTAAAGATCACTCATCATAATTCTTCTACTAAAAGCATATAAATCAGTATCTATACCTAAAAACGTATTTAACCTGACTATTGTTGTATCTGAACACAGAAAATTACCCTTGCAGCAGGAAAACCACGGAACTGAAGCGGGTCCCCAGAAGTTCACAATTGCACTTAACTTGTCATCTCTCTTCCAATTCCCTTCATATATTTACATCCCACCCTTCCAACAGGCATCTAACCAGCGGATGAAAATGTTAAAATAAAGCCACGGAAAAGAAAGGAAACTGATCTCAAAGAAACTCAGTCTCACAGGAAAGTAAATCTGTATTTTTGACAGCTGTAAACAGATCATGGTGTTATGTGCTTATAAGCAAAATGACTAACATCTCTGAATATCACAGCTTTACTCAACATTCAGGATGGAAACAAAAAAGAATTGAAAAGAGAACAGTCAGCAATTTGTAATTAATAAAGAAGTTGAAAAGATTTTTGCTTTCCATCCAAGCATCACGCCAACTATTCTCTACTTGAAAGAGCTTCCTTGGAGCCTGGAGTCAGCCCACAGAGGTAATAACTGCACCAAGCCTATGTGATTTTTTCATTTGATTACATCATTTTATAGTATTAACACTGTATTATATTCTGGTCAGTAGTAATTTAGACCATTCAATGCTGGCAAATCACAAAGTAAATTTTTTTACAGAATGTAAAAAACAAAACAAAAAAAACAGTACTATGTCTAACTTAATCTGAGATGTTTAAGGTGTTTTTACCATTTATTATATTCTTCAAATATTCTTCAGACAGATTCTGGCTCCAAATCTGGCAGTTTGTTTCTTAACATTTGATGCTTTTACGCTTCAAGCCCTCTCCTTCAGCTACATTGCTGCTAACTTACTTTCTTTATACATTCATCACATTAGAATCTAAGGGAGGAATAACTATTTGATTGTTTTAACTCGTGCACAGAATAACACTTATATTAATGTGAAGACACCAAGATATGTTAATTCCGAGCTACAAATAAACCACAAGATGGAATGTATTTAAGTTTTTATTGCTTCTTTTTTGCTAAGTGAGCAGGACTGTATTTGCTGGAGGTGTTCTGGATTTTGTTTGCTGAAGATGCACTGCATTTTAGAGCTTTTTTTTTATAGATAAGATTTCCATAACGTTGTAGCAGCAGATGACAAGAATATATTGTGAAAATAAGACATGCAACCTAGAGGCCCTTCGTTACTTATCCACTTACCTGCTTTTACATCCTGGTTGAAACGACAGTATTTAGAATGCTCAAGCAGGGGCAGACACTGTTCAATAGGCGTCCAGACATACGTCTCAGGACACAACAGGTCAGATGGCCTATACTGACCCTACAAGGGGAAAGAGGGGATAAAAAAAGGAAGAAAAAGAGAACAGCCATATCAGTTGTGCAAGAACACTCTTGTGTTACAAGTTTCCAGATTTTCCCATAGACAAGGAATGGTTTTAATCAAGACTAAACAAAATGAGTCAGAAATAGTTTCACAGTAAACACAGGATTTATCCGTTAGTAATTTCTGCGTTGCATCAGGGATACAAACTTAACCTTAACTTTTTTAATAAATAAATAAATAAATGTAAAATCTCAATAACACTTTCTATAGGGACCAGGATGGATTAGAGAAGTTTTGGCTTTGCTGACTGAAATTCTATACGTGAGTTACCATCTAGGATTCTACCGAGTTGGTACTGACACTAAAAACCTCAGCACCTCAGAAAGCAGCTTGTCCCAAATGTTATTCATTCTAGCAAATAATGGAGACAAAAAATGTTTCTAACAGGAAAAAGAGAATATAACAGTAAGCAAAATATTATTTTTAATGTGCTGGTGAGAGAGCATTTTGTTCATTACCCCTTAAATAGCAATACTTCCTTTCCAATTCATGGAGTTTATCCTAGAACAGCTTATAAATATGATTAGTGAGTTTTTTATTGATTTATTAAAAAGATCTTTACAGATATTTGCAGAAACTAAATAACAATACTTACTTTCCTATGAAGTCCAGAGAGAATAACTAGCTCAGTCATGACAACCTCCTCTAATTATATCTTCTTGATCTAAAATAAGATGATTCATTGGCCTATGACTTCCATCAGAAATACACATTGGAGCTATTAATTATTCAATCATACCTCTCAATCTCCATACCTACGTAGTGCAGCGAAGCTGACTGATGCCTGAGAAGGAACTTAAAATTATTGTGACTATGGTGGGGTGACAAAAATCCCTTTTAACAAGTCACATTCACATTCACAAGAAATCCCTTTTAACAAGTCACATTCACAAGCTCCGATAACATTCCTCATGTATACACAGAGCTTCATGCAGCAAGGCATGCGATCTTGGAGGATCAGCAGAATCATCTGCTGAATTTAGAGATATTCCAAATGCTGTCTAGTTCCTGACAAGGTTTACAGCAAACAAATCATTTATTTTGTATTTCCTGCCACGTTTAATATTGGAGTCAGAAATTTCTAAGTTATACCACAAAAAAAGCAAATCACAACTATGCACATGAAATACTAAACACAAAACTTTCATGAGATGGGTAAGATGATGGTCTAATAATGAGTAAAACAAACACAAACAGTTATCAGACGCCTGAAGCATCTTTCTGAAATGCCAGCCCTGCTCCCAGTGAACAGTGGCCAATTCTAATGCACAAATGAGTCTCTCCAGTCACTCATCACTTTACTGATTATTTCTTTAAAAGATGGCTTTAATCATGAATGCCTCCTGCTAAATTCTGATGACTCTCTGCATTTATTTCTCACTTAGGAAACAACTGCAAACAGTCACTGCATGGGGAAAGAACAGGCTCTCTCTGTGACTCGGACTTTGAAAAACACCCAGCATCAACCTGTAACTGCTGTTTTCCTTTAAAATGCAAATTTCTATATTAAATTAGAACAATATTTCCTCTAATCCCATGCATAAGCTTAAATCTCAAGACTTTAGAAAATGCTCTCAAGACAGCGAATGGAAATGGCCTTATTAAATAAACCACTTTGAAACGTTATGCCTTCAAACAGAAATAGCTGAAAGGGCTGTGAACGTAATGCTGAAAGAACAATTTAAGTCACCATTGCACAGATGAAACAATTTAAGGGTTTGGGAAACAATATGCCTTTTTAGTCAGACAAAAAAGGTATTAAAACATAATTACTTGTGAATTCAATCTATTTTTCACTCTTTGAAGTGCAATTTCCATCTATGTCCAAAGGCATGACAGTCAAAACACGCTTCCATGAATCTCATCAAAGTACATAGCGGACAGCATCTTTTAGTGTATCATATGTTAAAGCTCCTTATTCTTTTCCTGGAATAGTTGGTTGAAGTTTCTGAGATCCGAAGAAATTTATTTAGATTCCTACTACTGAAGGCAGACAATATTCTTTTGTTGCCATATGAAAACTTTGATTCTCAAAATACTATGAGATTCATCTAGTGCTCACAGAATAGTCCCTCCTACATTTCCCTGTTTAGATGAAGAAAAGAGGAAATAGCTCTGAGGTGGTTTTCTTTAGATTTCTTCTTCCCCTGAGATTTAGACTCTTACTAATAAACTTCGCTGCAGATGTGGGAACTGAGGTGATGACATATATGAAAGAGGTATCACTGAGCTGTGTTAGAAAATATTAGAAGTAAAAATTAAACAAGCTATCGATGCTCTTCAATAGCCTTGCTTTATTTTTAAAAGAAGTCCCAAATACACCCAAGGCCACACATTTTTCTCCTTTGGAAGGTATGCTGTTTGCTCCATGGGTAAACCCAAATCCCGTGCATGATTCACAGGAGGAGGTGGGAATAC